CAACTTCCTTTTCCCTGTTCCCCACTTCTCTGCCCTTGCACCCTCCCTGGCCTTTTATCAGCCCTTCTGGGGCTGGTCCATCCCCCTGAACCCTGGCTGGTTCCCCTGGAACCTCCTGTTTGGCCTGACAACTTGGCTGGGTATAGCCGATTTTCTGCTCCAGGTGGAAGAGATCCGGGGCTGCATTGAGAAACTGTCAGAGGATGTGGAGCAGGTGAAAAAACAGCATAGCGCCATCCTGGCCGCCCCCAACCCAGATGAGAGTGAGTGTGGCTGCCGTTGGCTGTGGGGTGGGAGGAGAAGGGGCCTGTGGCTCCCACCTACACCTCTCACCTCCCCTTGCCCTCCCCTCAGAGACCAAACAGGAGCTGGAGGACCTCACTGCAGACATCAAGAAGACGGCCAACAAGGTTCGGTCCAAATTGAAAGGTGAGGAGTACAACCCCTTAACCAGGAAGGAAAAGAACTGTAAGTGGACCGCGGTGGCTCAGGCCTGTAATCCCAGCACTTTGGGAGGCCAAGGCCAGGCCAATTGCTCGATCCCAGGAGTTCAAGACCAGCCAGGGCAACATCGCAAAATTCTGTCTCTACAAAAAATACAAAAATTAGCTGGGCATGATAGTGTGTGCCTTGGTTCTAGCTACTTGGGGCACTGAGGCATGAGAATCACTTGAGTCCGGGGATTGAGGCTGCAGTGAGCCAAGATCATGCCACTGCACTCCAGCCTGGGTGACAGATCAAGACCCTGTCTCAAAAAAAAAAAAAGGCTGAGCTTGGTGGCTCATGCCTGTAATTCCAGCACTTTGGGAGACCAAGACAGGCAGATCACCTAAGGTCAGGAGTTCAAAATCAGCCTGGCCAAAATGGTAAGATTCCTATCTCTACTAAAAATGCAAAAAATTAGCCGGGTGTGGTGGTGGGTGCCTATAATCCCAGCCACTTGGGAGGCTGAGGCAGGAGAATCATTTGAACCTGGGAGGTGGAGATTGCAGTGAGTTGAGATCATGCCACTGTACTCCAGCCTGGGTGACAGAGTGAGACTCCTTCTCAAAAAAAAAAGAGAAAAAGAAAAGAAAAAAGAAAAAACAAACCTCTGCCATCCATTGGGCAAAATAGGACTTTCTCCAAGGAATTTCTACAAAGTTCCAGGAGCCAGATTATTAAACAGTGAGAAAGCACAAAACGCCAGCTTTCTCCCTAGCTCCAGTTCTTTGGAGAAAGATATATGATAGGAAATGAGGGAGAGGAGAGTGTTTATGTAAACTGCATCTGAGCCCTGCTGCTTCTACCAGCATGAGGGTTCACCAGAAAAAGGTGGTCTTCCGACTGGCTTCAGTTTCATTAAGTCCTCATTTCTCCTGAGCAGGCCCCCGGCATAGCACAGAGCACCCAGTGGGTGGGCCCGGCAAATGCCTCTGAATCAGTATCCTTGGCTCAGGACAGATTGGACTTGTGTGGCTGACATCAGGGGCTGGCAATCTTTCAAGAGGGACTTGCCAAATGTTCATTTATTCACTGTAATTTTAGGACTTGGGTGCTGGTAATAACCACCTTTCCCCAAAGCACCGTGGGTTGGGAACCTCCTTGTCTGCTCATACCAGGGAAATAGCAGTGTTACTGGCATGCTGTTTTGCGTGCCCCTGGTAAGTCAGTATTGGAAAACGTAGGCCGAGCACCTCCAGTGTCCGAGGCACATTGCTAGGCTTTGGGGAAGAGGAGCTGTATCAGCCGCCTGGCCCCCAGAGCACTGACCTTGGCCCAGGGAGAGGAGAGTAGTAACTCCACGCCCTCTGGACTCAAGGGGAGGCCATATGTGAGCCTCTGATTCGGATTGGTAAAAACAAGCCCTTTGTACTCAGGAGAGTTTGCTGGATGGAACTGTCTGAATTTGGGAGCACATTAAGTGCAAATCCGGCCTCCACCATCAGCTCACCCTGGACAAGTCCCCTACCCTCAGCTTCCTTATCAGTACAGTAAGACAGATGAAAGTAATATCAAAATCAGCTTGCTTTTTAGGGGGTGAGGAGCATCAGAATCTTTTTTTTCCAAAGTCATACAAAGAATTCCAATATATAAAACATAAAAGTCAGGTTGTTCTATCTGTGCTGGAGCTGGAAGCACCTACCTGCTTGGCCTCCCTTCATTCTCTGCAACAGCCCCTAAAATTCCTTCTCAGAAACAGGGTTTCTGCTGGCAGTTTAAAATCCCCTGGGCTCAATGGTTTTTCTAGGCCCATCAAGCCTTGACCTTGAATGTTCTCTGTAAGACCCTAGGGAGGGCTCTGTGGGTGAGGGGTTCAGGGATAGATGGAGAAAGAAGTTGGAAAAAGTGGCTGTGGTTTAGAAAAGCTAACCTTTGAGACCTCCAGGAAAGGAGAGAGGATTCTCTTCATCTTCTTCCAGCTGGTGGCAGGAGCTCAGGCTTTGAGTGTGACCTTGAGTGAGTGGTTTCACCCATTGGAACCTCAGTTTCTAGTCTAAAACATGAGCTGATATCACCGAACTCCCAGGAATGTTGTAAAAAGTAAATGAGATCCTGTAAGAGACCCCTCCCTCCAGACTTGGCCCCAACCCCAAGGCTGACAGTCGGGTGCCAATCTGGGCCAGCCGAGTCCAGTATCCCTGGGCTGCATGTTGCTGGGCCAGAGCTGTCACTCAGTTGGGGGAGCCTCAGGGTGCCATCCGGCCTGTACCTCCCCCACTGCCAGCAGAACAGAGGAGGAGTGAGGCTCTCAGGAGCAGCCCGGAGGCCTGCGAGGTCTGAGAGGCCGGTGATTCATCCCTGCTGCATTTTCTGATCTCACCGAGGTAGATTTTCCCACAATCTGTTTTTTAGAAAATCGGAATGATAATGTCAAGAGTACGTGATCCAGAAGCAGGAATCTCAGTTAATCTGTGCACTTTTCCAGAACATCCTTCAGAAGTGGGAATTCCCGGATCGGGGATCACCTTGCAGGGCAGGGGGAGGGCTGCTTTCTCCCTTGGAATATTCATATGTTTGCCCTTGAATTTCCCAGGGAAAGAGGGGCCACTAGAGCCTGACCCACCTAGAGGTGCCTGCCTTCCGCCAGAAAAAACGCAGGTTGCATTCTTGCCTCCTGTCCAGAGGCTGTAGGAAGTGGGGAGCACCCCACATTTAGGGCCCCTCCGCGGGCTGGGCTGGCACCCCCTCATGGGGTTGGACAGGAGTTACCACTGGTGGGACTTTCCAAGACTCAGTTCTGCGACTATAACAAATAGCCCCCTTCTGTCTGGTGACCGTCTGACCCTCAGTATCCCCTCCTGCTGGCCTTCGGAACCCCTCAAACGTCTGTCCATCTATCTTCTGGCTCCTAACCCCACTCTGGGGCATCGCTGCCCGCACTCGCCCAGGGCATGACGTTTCTCCCGGGCCCGGCGCTGCCGCGGGGTGTTGACCCTTTGTACGTCCCGGACCCACACCCCATGTGTCCCGGGCCTCCCGCCCATCACTGCGCCCTCTCTTCCGCAGCGATCGAGCAAAGCATTGAACAAGAGGAGGGGCTGAACCGTTCCTCCGCGGACCTGCGCATCCGCAAGACCCAGGTAGGAGGCAGCAGCCCAGCAGGGGCCCGGCCGGGACCAGGCTGGAGGCGGGCGGACCAGGGCTCTGGCACATGCGGGGCCGTGGTCATGGAGGACGGGGGCGTGGTCACGGAGAACGAGGGCGTGGTCGTGGAGGACGAGGGCGTGGTCGTGGAGGACGAGGGCGTGGTCATGGAGGACGGGAACGGGGCTCGGAGAGGGCGGGGCCGAGCTGCATCTCAGTGCCGGAGCTGTGTCTCTTTCTAGTGCTGGCATAAGAAGTGGGTACCCGGCTCGTAGGGGACCCTGAACCTGTCAGGGTTTGGGATCGCGTCCCAAGCTGAAGAAGGGACCGTAAACTAATTCAGCGCGTCCTCCCCATTCTGCCCATGCTCTGCCTCCTCTCCCGCCTCGGTCTCTGCTCCCTGACTCCCTCCCTGATCCGTCTGTCCTCCCACCCCCACCCTAGCACTCCACACTGTCCCGGAAGTTCGTGGAGGTAATGACTGAATATAACGCGACCCAGTCCAAATACCGGGACCGCTGCAAGGACCGGATTCAGCGGCAACTGGAGATCAGTACGTGTGTCCCCCACCCCAGGACCCCAAACTCTCCGGGGCTGCCCAAGTCCTCGCAGGCCTTTCCTCTCTGGAGGAGGCGCCTGGCCTAAGGCAGGGTGGGAGGGTGGGCTCCGGGTTGCTGCTCCATCACCCCAGCCCCTGAGCAGGGACTCCTTTCTTTCCGCAGCTGGAAGGACCACGACCAACGAAGAACTGGAAGACATGCTGGAGAGCGGGAAGCTGGCCATCTTCACAGACGATGTGAGCCGCGGGTGGGGCGGGCTGTGTTTCTGGAAAGATTTCGCCTCCCCTCCCTAAGTTCAGGTTGAACTAAGGTCCCAAAGCCACTCTGGAAAAATGAGCAACAGGAAGCCTGAGCCTGAAACTGGGGAATTCCATGGGAGTGAAGCAGGAAGGCTCCCCCATCAGATGGCGGAGTCGTGTGCCAGGCACTGTTCTAAGCACTTTCCATCATCACATTCACCCACCAACTCATTTAATCCTCACACACCCCTTCGAGGGAACCCCATTTCACAGAAGAGGAATACTGGCCCAGAGAGATGAAATCACTTGGCAAGATCTCAGAGCAAGGGGCAGAGCCAGGACTTGAAATCTGTCTAGTTTCAGAGTCAGAACTCTTGAGCCCTAGGATGCACCACATACTCTGCTACTGAAGCAGGTCATGTCACCGGAGAACGGATTTGCCTACCTTAAAAAAAAAAAAAAAAATTTTATATATATATATATATATATATATATATATATATTTGTTTTTAATTTTAAAACGTTTTTGTTTTTGTTTTTTGTAAGATGGAGTTTTGCTCTTGTTGCCCAGGCTGGAGTGCAATGGCACAATTTCAGTTCACTGCAGCCTCCCACCTCCCGGGTTCAAGCAATTCTCCTGCCTCAGCCCCCCAAGTAGCTGGGATTACAGGCGCGCACCACCACACTAATTTTTGTATTTTTAGTAGCGATGGATTTTCACCATGTTGACAAGGCTGGTCTTGAACTCCTGGCCTCAGGTGATCCACTCACCTTGGCCTCCCAAAGTGCTGGGATTACAAGCATGAGCCACCGAGCCTCGCCTGAAAAAACTTTTTTTGTAGAGATGGCGGGGGTGGGGGGGTCTTCCTCTGTTGCCCAGGCTGGTCTCGAACTCCAGGGCTCAAGCAATCTACTTGCCTCAGCCTTCCATAGTGCTGGGATTACAGATGTGAACCATGAAACTCAGCCTAATTTGCCTACATTTTGAAGATTTTTTTGTTTGTTTGGTTTTGGTTTTTTGTTTGAGATGAAGTCTCGCTCTTGTGCCCCAGGCTGGAGTGCAGTGGTGCGATCTTGGCTCACTGCAACCTCCACCTCACAGGTTCAAGCGATTCTCCTGCCTCAGCCTCCCGAGTAGCTGGCATTACAGGTGCCCACCACCACTCCTGGCTAAAGAGTTTTTTTTTTTTTTAAACAAGTTTTAGTTTTGCTTAGGTTTCCCCCCTCTGCGCTGCCCTTGTCCTTTTAAGCTCAGGGCTATAATCCCAGCATTTTCGGAGGCCGATGCGGATGGATCACCTGAGGTCAGGAGTTCAAGACCAGCCTAGCCAATGTGTAGAAAACCCGTCTCTACTAAAAATACAAGAATTAGCCAGGCACAGTGGCGCATGCCTGTAATCCCAGCTGCTAGGGGGGCTGAGGTAGGACGATCGCTTGAACTTGAGAGGCGGAGGTTGCAGTAAGCCAAGATCCTGCCACTGCACTCCAGCCTGGGCAACAGAGCAAGAATCCGTCTCTTAAAAAAAGAAAGAAAGGATGGGCTTTCCCCGAACCTAGTTCTTGTTTCTCTCAGTGGACCTTTGCCCCGGCCTGCCCACTCCAGTCTTCATTTCTGCTTCTGGTAGCAAAATGACTCTGGTTAAGGGTTCTAGACTAGGTTTAAAGTATGTGCTATGACTGTCTTAACAGTTTTCAGCTCACTGTTATTTGGAGAACTGATCTTTCTTAAAATGCATTGAGCAGCCCAGCGTGGTGGCTCACACCTATAATCCCAGTACTTTGGGAGGCCAAGGCAGGTGGATCGCTTGAGCCCAGAAGTTCAAGACCAGCCTGGGCAGCAAAGTGAGACCCCATCTCTACAAAAAAAAGTGTGTTGTTGTCATTGTTTGAGACGGAGTCTCATTCTGCCGCCCAGGCTTTAGTGCAGTGGTGCGATCTCAGCTCACTGTAATCTCCGCCTCCTGGGTTCAAGCAATTCTCCTGCGTCAGCCTCCCAAGTAGCTAGGACTACAGGCATGCGCCACTACGCCCAGCTAATTTTTTTGTATTTTTAGTAGAGATGGGGTTTCACCATGTTGGTCAGGCTGGTATCGATCTCCTGACCTCATGATCCACCCGCCTCACCCTCCCAAAGTGCTGGGATTACAGATGTGAGCCACTGCGCCTGGCCCCAGAAAAAGTTTTTTTAATTTAAAAAATAATTTCTTTTAATGTAGGCAAATCCGTTCTATGGTGAAATGACATGCTTTAATTAGCCAGGCATAGTGGTGTGTATCCGTGGTCCCAGCTCCTCGGGAGGCTGAGATGGGAGGATTGCCTTAGCCCAGAAGGTCAAGGCTGCAGTGAGCTATGATCGCACCACTGTACTCCAGCCTAGGCGACAGAGTGCGACCCAGTCTCAACAAAGAACAAGAACCAAAAAAAACAGACTGGGAGACTGAACGCTGTCCAAACAGCCATTGGATGATTTTGGCTTATAGGATGCTTATAGGATGAGGAGGAGATGAGGGTAGAGGGAGTCTGTGCCTTGACTGCTGACTGGAAGGTGTGGAGCCTAGGGTAGTGGGGAGCCATGGCAGGCTGTAGAGCAGAGGAGTGGTTTGATGTGGTAAGAACAGTGAGTAATTTGGGAAGTGAGTCACCTGCCTCAGGCTAGGTATTTGTGGAGAGGAGGCATATCTGACTGTGGGTGGAAGTCTCTTCCCCACTGGCTTTCTTTTCTTTTTTTTTTTTTTTTTTTTTTTTTTTTTTTTTTTTTTTTTTTTTTTTTTTTTTTTTTTTTTTTTTTTGGCATGGTCTTACTCTGTGGCCCACATGCTGGAGTGCAGTAAAGCAATCATAGCTCACTGTAGCCTCGACCTCGTGGGCTCAGGCGATCCTCCTGCCTCAGCCTCCTGAGTACCTGGGACCACAGGCAACACCATGCCCAGCTAATTTCTGTGTTTTTTGTTTTTTGTTGGTAGAGACAAGGTCTCGCTCTGTTGCCTAGGCTGGCCTCAAACTCCTGGGCTCAAGCGATCCTCCTGCCTTGGACTCCCAGAGTGCTGGGGTTACAGGCCTCTACCCACGGACTCTTTTTTTTTTTTTTGAGATGGAATTTCACTGTTGTCGCCCAGACTGGAATGCCATGGTGCTATCTCAGCTCACTACAACCTCTGCCTCCCAAGTTCAAGCAATTCTCCTGCTTCAGCCTCCTGAGTAGCTGGGATTACAGGTGCCTACCACGATGCCAGCTAATTTTTGTATTTTTAGTAGAGACTTGGTTTCACCGTGTGGGCCAGGCTGGTCTTGAACTCCTGATCTCAGGTGATTGGCCCGCCTTGGCCTCCCAAAGTGCTGGGATTACAGGCGTGAGCCATCATGCCTGGCTGATATGTACATATTAACTCACTCAGTCTTCACAACCACCCTGTGAGATGGGCACTGTTATGATCCACTTTTTCTAGGTGGGGAAACAGGCTAAGAGCAGGTAAATAATGTGCCTAAGGTTTCAGCTAGTAAATGACACCAGATTTGACCCTGGCCACTTGCTGCCGTGGAGGCGCTCATGGGGGTGAAGGGTGATCGTAGCTCTCCCCTTCGTCGCCCTAGATCAAAATGGACTCACAGATGACAAAGCAGGCGTTGAACGAGATCGAGACGAGGCACAATGAGATCATCAAGCTGGAGACCAGCATCCGAGAGCTGCACGACATGTTTGTGGACATGGCCATGCTTGTGGAGAGCCAGGTACCAGCTCTGCCACCCATGCCACCCTGGGAGCCTCCCCGGGGCCAAAGTCCCCTCTTCCAACCCAGCTCCCACCCCTCCCTGTGCATGTCTCCTCCGTCTGCAGGGAGAGATGATTGACCGCATCGAGTACAACGTGGAACATTCCGTGGACTACGTGGAGCGAGCCGTGTCCGACACCAAGAAAGCAGTGAAATATCAGAGCAAGGCCCGGAGGGTGAGCGGGGCAGGCGGCCTGGGGGTAGGCGGGGAGCCCAAGGCTGAGCCTGGGCTGAGGTGAGTGATGGCAGCGGGCGGGAGGCCTTATCTCTGGCTCTGACCTCTTCCTGTTTCTGTTTTCTCTCCCTCTTCTCCCTGTCACCCTCTGCCCCGTTTGTCCCTGCATCTGTCCGTCTGTTGGTCTCTCCCACTATCTCCCTGTCTCGCTCCTCTTTCTGCTGCAGAAGAAAATCATGATCATCATTTGCTGTGTGGTGCTGGGGGTGGTCTTGGCGTCATCCATTGGGGGGACGCTGGGCTTGTAGGCCCCCCCACTTTCTCTCTCCCAGACCCCTCCCCCACCACATCGGGAGCAATACCCCCACCACTCCTTTTACTCCATCCCCTGCTCCAGGCTCACCCCCAAAACAGACCCAGGCAGCCCCACCCCTCCTCCACCCCCACGGCAGACCCTGGTGTCCCTGGACCTCACCGGGCCACGGACCCCCCGCCCCCGCACGTAGATTGCAGCAGGCGTGATTACACATGCACACCAACATGCATGCCGCCGGCACATGCTCAAGACGTGTGGACACCCCAGCGTGCGTGTACATGTGATGTGTGTGATGCACCAGAGCACCCCCCGCCCCCACCTTGGGTATGTGTGTGGTCTGAGCTTCCCCCTTCACCGGGGCTGTCGTGTAGACTGCAGCCAGGTGTAACCCAGCAGCCCACCACACCCTCTCTGTCTTCTGTGAACAGTGTGTGCGCGCATGAGACCACAGATCTGTTGACACATCATTTGTGTGCGTGGAATTTTGTGTTTGAGTGTTTGAACCTAATGCAACAGCAACAAAGCCACTGATACCCGAGCCCTTCGTGTCTGCTACAAACCAAGCAGGTGGTGCGTGTGTACTCACTCACATTCTCGGAGGATCCAGGAAGGCCCAGGTACACGTAGGCCATGGCAGACACCCCACATCTTCGTTTCCCCAGGGGTTGCTGCGTGTCCCGGGAGGGTGTGTGTGTGTGTGTGTGTGTGTATGAGACAAGTATGTGCCTGAAGTGTTGATAGGTCTTCTCAGACCGAGCCCTCCACACTGTGGATTGGACATCTGTTTTGGGCGGGCATAGAAATGTGTATTTCTTACTACCTAGAATGCGGCTCTTTGTGTGTGTGTGTGTGTGTGTGTGTGTGTGTGTGTGTGTTAGGGGCTGTCTACATGGTGTGTTTTTTGTTTTTGTTTTTGTTTTGAGACGGAGTCTGGCTCTGTCACCCAAGCTGGAATGCAGTGGCACGATCTCAGCTCACTGCAACCTGCTCCTCCCGGGTTTAAGCGATTCTCCTGCCTTAGCCTCCCAAGTAGCTGGGATTACAGGCACCCGCCACCATGACCGGCTAATTTTTGTATATTTAGTAGAGATGGGGTTTTTGACATGTTGGCCAGGCTGGGCTCGAACTCCTGACCTCAGGTGATCTGCCCACCTTGGCCTCCCAAAGTGCTGGGATTACAGGTGTGAGCCCCCACACCCAGCCTACATGGTGTGTTTCTTCCCTGCGTATTAAAACATACATACACACGTGTGTGCACAGGCGCTTCTAAGGATGTGGCCCCATGCGGGTTTGTCTGTCCAGTTGTCCTTGCCGCGCCCCTCTCCCCAGAGGCGCTGCCCAGTACGGTGTGACCACACATGGCCACATCGTTGTGCAGCCAGAGCTTCCTGCCTGCCCAGCCTCAGGGCCCTGCGTGCTCTTGCCCAGATCCTCATTTTTCTCTCTGCCTCTGCCCAGCGTAGCCCCAAGCCCCTGGAAGCTGGTACCCCTCCGTGTGCCCACACATGGCAAGGCTGAGGTGGCCCAGGCGGGGGCCACACCAGGCAGACACCATGCATGCTGGCATCGGTGTGGGGACCATATGAATGCCTCCTGATAGGGAAGGGCTGCTTGTAGGAATGTTATTGACAGGGCAAGATGCCAAGAACTTCCCTGCACAAATCAAAGATCAGGGCATGGCCCCTTCCTCACACACCTGCCTCGGACCTGGGAGAGGACTGTGTGTCCCCACTGCCCCATCGGATGCTCTGGGCTCTGCCTCAGGGAACTCAGGTTTGGGGAACTGTTTATTTCAGATGTACTGGAGTGGCCAGTGTGGCAGTGGCCACTCAGGGTGGGCTGGGTCCCAAGACCCATCCCCAACGCTTCTCCTGCTGAACCCTCAGGCTGCTCCCCACACCAGGGTACGACTGAGGGGTACACAGGCCCAGTTTTCGGTGTGAGGAAGGGGCCAGCACTTCCCCTGTTGCGTAGCCAGCACAGGTGCAGTTTGTGGAGTTGGTGGCAGGTAGGCGGAGCTCAGGAAAAAGGACAAAGTTAGAGGCTCGTGGTCCATGGCCCAGGAGCATGGAGGGTAAACGCACAAGGACACAAATGTGCCCTGCCCTGGCAAGGGGCTTACGTGTGCACAGGCGAGGGACTCGGTGTGTGTGTGCAGACCCCAGGGTCCCAGGCCATGTGACATGTGCGTGTGTGTGTGCATTGCGTGTACATGTGTGCATTGTGTGTGTGCATTGTGTGTGCGTGTGGCCATATAGATGTGACCTCCCAGAACATAGTACCCCTCCGCCTCTACCCCCGCTCAGACAGCTGAGCTCTACCTTGTCCTGTGTGCGTGTCAGTGTGGCCACATGTAGAACCCCAGGTGGGCTGTCCTGAGCTGGGGGCCTGCCTGTCTCTTCCCAGAATGCCCCTCTGCAGGACAGAAAGTCTGCGCCATGTCTGGCTGCGGCCCTCCTGATCCCATCTCGGGCTGCTTGGGAGACATCAGAGCAGGCCCCAGCCCCCAGTTCCTTCTTCTGGCTGTCCTGACAGGACCCCTGTTCAGCCCAGGTGTTTCCGGAAGTCCCACGGCCTTGGGGCCACGGGAAAAGGGTGTGATATGGCTGGGGCGCCGCTCCCACTGCCTGGAGTGGCATTGGGCCCACAGCTGCCTATCTCTGGGCCTCAGGTGGACCAGGGGATCCCCGAGGGTCTGCTGTGCCCCGACTTTTCTACACGTCCCCCACCTCCTATGATGTGTCTGCTTGTCGGCTGCAGTCTGTGTGCGTCCTGGCGTGTTATCTAGGGATGGTGTCTTTTGCATGTTCTCGGACAAATGTGTGCTGCCTGCCCAGGCGCCTACAACCATCAAGCCCACGTGTGCCCCACGTGTGCCCTGAGGGTGGTCCCGGGCCTGGCCAGGGCTCAGTGCTCCTCCTCCCCCTCCTCCCTGTTCCAGCCCCTCACAAAGCACACTGCGTGTCCATCCCATGTGCCCGTGGGTCGATGCACGCTCCTGCCACGCCCTGAGCGTGTACACATGATGTGTTCTATGCATTCACCCTGCCCCCCCAGCCCGCCCCGCAGAGGACAAGATGGGTGGCCCCCGGCTTCCTTTTCCTCACCCACCCCTGCCTGCTGTGCAGCCGTGTGCGTTGGCGTGTGTTTCTGTGTCGCTGGCGTGTCACGTGATGTAGCCGTGTTTGCTGACATGAGCCCTTGCCCCCTTCTCTGTTTCTCCGTTGGTTTCTAGAGCTCTCTCCCTCCCCTCCCCAGAGGGGACAGGACTCCTGGGGCCTGGCTGGGGGCCCAGAGCCAGGCCACCCTCTTCTGTTAGCCCTCAGAGTCCCATTTCTCTCTATTGGTGACCAAGTTGCAAATGGATAAAACACAGGAAAATCCTGCCCCCCTTTCCGCCCTGCATGTCCTGTCCCCAGAGCCCCCCACCCCACCCCGGGCCAGGCAGGGCCCTGTGGGACGGGAGAAATAGCAACCAATCCAACAGCGGGCGTGCCGTGTGCTCACTTCCTTCTGTCCCCATGCGGGATGGGCGCCGTGGGGAGGTGGACACGGGGTGGAGACAGGAAGGACAGCTGGACAGACAGATGGACATGGGCGTGGATGAGGCTTTTAATCCGGGCTCAGCCAGGTATAACATCTATGGCCTTCACTGTAGATGCCTGGGGGCATCCCCAACCACAGGGCTGGCTACCTACCGGGAAGGAACTTGGGTAGGGAGGTGGGAAGTGAAAGTGGAGGGAGGCCGCAGCACTCCAAAGGGGAATTCAGACAGACGGCGAAGGTGAGGCCTTGGAAAAGCAATGGAAACATCACCTCCCAAAGAGGGACGGAGGTGGCCGGAGGAACCAGAGCCGCCTCTGCACTCTGCACCTAGGCCTGAAGGTCACCCGTGGATGTCAGGAGGGGAGCCTCTGCTCTCTTCCTGCTCACAAAGCCAGAAGTGAGCCAGGGCAGGTCGCCAGGGCACCAGACACTGGCCAAGCAGCCATTGGGCCTGGAGAGGATGAAGGACGGACACTCCTGTCCCCAAACCCTGCCCTTGTGTCCTGATGGCCCCAGAACTTGAAGGCGTCAGGACACAACACAGACTCAAGGCTCCGGGATTGAAAATGTGGAGGGCTTGGGCCAGGCACAGTGGTTCACACTTGTAGTTCCAGCACTTTGGGAGGCCCAGGTGAAAGGATCACTTGAGCCCAAGAGTTCAAGACCAGCCTGGGCAATACAGTGAGACACTGTCTCTAAAAAAAAAAGCCAGGTGTGGTAGTGTGCACCTGCGGTCCCAGCTGTTCAGAAGGCTGAGGCAGGAGGAACTCAGGAGGTTGAGTCTGCAATAAGCTATGATCACGCCACTGCACTCCAGTCTGGGTGACGGAGCAAGACCTGGTCTGAAAAAAAAGAAAAAAAATGTGAAGGGCTCTGGGTCCTAGAGCCCTCCCTCCACTCTGAAATTCAGCCTTGTGTGAGGGCTCAGGACCTGGGTGGATGTGCTGCAATGGGCCTCCAGGCCACAGCCCTGCATCACTGGGCTGAACCCTCCATGGCCTGTACCCAGAGAATGGTGCGGGTCCGGCTGTCCTCCCATGAGAACATGGGCTCATAGCCGAAATGGCGCTGAGCTTTGTCAGTGCTGACAGTGAAGGTGGTATTGGCCACGGCCAGCGTGTAGGGGTTCAGCAGGGGTGCATAGAGCAGCAGCGGCCGCAGCAGCCACTGCAGCAGGACATTGAGAGCGGCCAGGAACACCAGCAGCCAGTAGGGCACCAGCGGGCGGGCGCCCACCAGCCTCAGTCCGCAGGGGCCCAGGAACTCCATGTTGAAGTCCTCATAGCTCTTGTAGGGCGATCCGTCATAGCAGAAGTACACTTGGCCGCCCATCAGGGCCGCCCGCCGCTCCAGTTCCCGGGCCGCCAGCACGTGCATCCAGGCCACATTTCCTGCCGGTGGAGGAAGAGACGTGGACACGCGCCGATGCCACACTGTGGGGAGGCTGCTCTCCTGGGCCACCCCCTTTTGGGCCCAGGTAGTTGCCTCCCACATTCCCACAGCAGCCTGGAAAAGGCTGCCTTCTCCTCTGCCCTGGTAGCCACTTGCTGTCTTGGGCCAGCCTGCATCTGCAAAGAACCTGGGGAGAGGATGGAGAAGCCAGGACTGCAGGGCAGGCCCTGAGGGGCTTGGCGGCTGCAGGACGGAGTGGGAGGTGACCTCATTACCTGAGTAGAAGCTATTCCCTTTCAAAAAATAGTTTTAGAGACAGGGTCTCTCTCTGTCGCCCAGGCTGGAGTGCAGTGGTGTGGTCATAGCGCACTGCAGCCTCCAATTCCTGGGCTCAGGCCATCCTCCCGCCTCAGCCTCCCAAAGTGCTGGGATTATATGTGTAAGCCACTGAACCCAGCCCTTTTAGCACTATGTAGACACTGTCCCTCTCTCTCCTCTCCTGGGGCGTGGCTGCTTCCATAGCTGCAATCTCTGTAGCCTTTGACACTTTTTGATGTCCCAACTTGCCCAGATCCTGTGTTCTCTGCAGGCTGTGCCCACATAATCCCAGTCTACCTTGGCCCATACATAGACCATATTTTTCTAGCCAGAATCCACATTTCTCCCTCAGGGCCATATGGGTCCCGACCCCTTCCAGAGCAGGTCCTCCTGCCATATTCTCAGCCTCCCCCTGCCTAGCCCAGTCCTCACCCACATAGACCCGGCCATGCTCCACAGAGGCCGGGATGGCCCGGAAGAGCCTACCCCCCAGGCGCAGGCCCTGGCGGTAGAAATCCCTCATGATCTGATGGCCTTCACCGTAGATGCCCGTGGGACGAAGGGCACACGTCACCAGGGGCAGCCCCCCACAGACCTGGTGGCAAAAGCAGGCACTGCTGAGATCTGGGGACCCAATAGTTGGCTCTCGGCTCCAGCCTCCTAGGGGTGTCGGGGTAAGGGGGTGCACAGGCCAGGAGCCCCATCTCTGCACCTCCATTTTCTGGGCTCACCTTCCTCCCATTGGCCTCCAGGACCAGCCACTCGGCCAGGGCCTTGCTGCAAGGATAGGGGTGCCTGTGCACTGCTTCATATGGGGTGTCCTCGTTGCCCCTGGTGGGAGGAGAGGGAAGACTCAATGCTGAGGGAAATGGGCCCTTAAGAGGACAGGAGGGCCTGCCACTCACCTGTAGAAGGGGTGGCCTTTGGTGTTAGGCCCCACAACTTCCATGCTGCTGGTGTAGACCAGGAACCGTGTTCCAGTCTGCACACAAGCCTCAATCACGTTCTGGGTGCCTGGTAGAGGAGGGGGCATATCCAGGCTGCAGCTTCCTCCCTCTCTGCATCTTCCTCCTCCCCACCCCAGGTCCCGGGAAACCACAACAGGTCAGCAATGCGGGGAGGGCAGGGCTGTCAACAGGACACTTGTCCCAGGGGAGTCACAGGAGGTCAAGGGCAAAGACGGGGTGGGGAACAAACAGACAAGATGGCCAGGAGCGTCCAGGGCTCCTCACCCTGCACGTTGACCTCATGGATGGTCTTTGGACTGGCCCTGCCAAACACATCCACCAGCCCAGCTGTGTGGATGACCACGTGGGCTCCGGCTACAGCTGCTGCCACCTCGTGGGCCTGGGTCACGTCTCCCTGGATGGCAGTCACCCTCACAGACCCTGGCCAAGGATAGAGGACACAGGCCATGTCAGAGCAGGGACCACAGGCTGGGTTCAGCTTCTACCCTGGAGTCACGTTCCCAGTGTGACTCACTTATCCCATCCATGTGGACAGAAACCAGCATCATCTGTTCCACTGCAGGGGTGGGGATCCCAGCTTGGGAAGGGATGGGGAAGTGTCTACACCCGCCCCGCCACAAGCTCCCCCAATGAGAACCTGTCTTCAGCTCCTCCAGCCAGGGACCCAGGTGTAGGTCAAAGACGCGCAGCTCCCCGAGACGGGGCTCCCGCTGCAGCAACATTCGCACCACGTGCTCCCCCAGGAAGCCGCAGCCCCCGGTGACCAGGTACACCAGCTTCTGGGCCTGTGCAGAGTCGGCCATGCCCAGCTCGGGAAGAGACCTTGGCTCACCCAGGGTCCGACTTCCGCCTGCCACGGCCACCTGTTAACTACTGGAGGTGCCCTGGAGCAGGAATGAGGCTGAAGGTTTCGGGGAGGGCAGGACAGCCCCTGGGAGCTGCAGCAGCCAGGCCACCTGCACTCTGCCCCTGCCGACAGCTGAGTTACGGAGAGAGAGACGGACTTGGGGTGCAGGAAGGGGTCAGGGTTTCGGGAGAGAGGTGAGGGCAGAAAAGGGGTGGGGAGGCTGGCAGTTGAGGGAGGTGGAGGGAATAGTATAGGGAAGTGGGAAGTGGGATGGAGGTAAGGGCCACCTGGGCACTGGTAGCGCCTCTACCTACCTGCAGCCGCTGTCCCAGGGTGACCCTCTTCTTTTGTCCAGGGCTGGCCAGCCCACACACCGTCCCCTTCCGCTGGCTCCTCCTTCTCCCTCCTGGCCATTCCTGGAACAGAGACCCGCCCAACCACCACCCCCGCCACTCTTGCCCCAAGGCGCCCCCTGGTGGCTACTCTGTGCTCCACTGGCATCCGGGTCCAGCGGAGAACTTGGGGGGATGAAGCTGAAACTTGCAGAGTAGGCTGCAGGGGTCCAAGGCTATGGGTGGAGCCAGCAGGTGACCTCATCTCACAGTGTGACCTCAGGCCTTCCCTCCTGCTGGGATTCCCAGGAAGCCAGAGGCCCAGTTGCAGCTGTGGTTCTGGGAAGGGGAGGCCTGACCTTGGCACCTCCTGCAGGCACTGGTAAGGGATTGCTGATGCGGCTGCCACAGCCTGTCAGGGGGTCCAACTACAGTCCTGGGGCCTCTGCAGGTCTGGGCTCTTGCCTGAAGGCCCCTCTACCCACCCCATACTTCAGGCGCCCACTTTTCCCTCTCATCGTCTTGCCCGACCCTCCATTCCCTCCACCCCCACCCCCTTTGATCCTCCCCAAAGACACCAACCAAACACTTTTGTACAATAAAGTTTAATCACAATTATAAAAATGTGGCGTCGGGTTTGCACTATTAACATATGTACAGTCCAGCCCAGCAGGAGGGGCCCACCCCACCATCCTGGCCTGGCTGAGCCAGGGCGTGACACCAGGGTGGGAGGGTGACCCTCAGGGTCTGGCAGGAACAGATGAGGCAGGGTTCCAGGCACGGAGTCCCCAGGACTGGGGGTGCAGAGCCCCCCCAGGGGGAGAACATGGCCACTGCCCCAGAGACCCCTAAACTGGGGAGGGGTACACGCAGGGCACAAGAGGAAGTCCCCATTAACACAAAGCAAGAGGGCTGTGCAGCCCCCCAGGACAGAATCTGTACAGGCCGGCACCCCAGGTTTCCACAGGAAACAGCTGCTGGCTGCTACAAAACATTTACAGCTTCTTCTCCGCAAAGAAAAACAATCAGGGGGTGGTGGGCAGGGGCGACAGGAGAGGCAGAAACTGCCTCCAGGAACTGAGGCTCCCTCGCTGGGCTCGGGGGCCCCCAACCCCATGCTTGGAGATGGGGGCGTGTGGGCCTTACTGAGCCCACTAAGGCTAGGGGCTGCTGGGAGCTCAGGGCACCAGGGGGAATAAATAGGGGTGTGGGCACCCGTCCTGCCCCACCTCAGTTTAGGGAGCCCCGGCAGCTCTCCGTGCCACACAGACACGGGATCTTGTTATCCTCCAGCGGGAACTTGTAGTCATAGGTGATCTCCTCGTCCACGCCGATGGGCTGCTTGGAGTAGATCACAATCTTCTTCTGGGACTCGATGGTGATGACCTTGGCGTAGCAGTTGGGCTGTGGAGAGAAGAGGGCATGTGAGCTGTGGCCGTCCCCCCGCTCAGACTCCCCCACCTCCGCCCCGGCCGGCCCCCTGGCGCACCGTGCAGCAGTGGTTGATGAACCTGGCCAGGTTGCCGCATTTGGTGGCATCAATGATGGTGTCGTGGTCCACCCGGAACAAGTAGCTGCTGCCAATGCCCTCCTGCACGTAGCGCTTCTCCCGCATGTCGGCCACCATCTGCCAGGGTGAGACTCGATGGTCAGGGAAAAGCACCCACTTCCTGCCCCTTCGTACGCCTGCCGGCCAGCACCCCAAATCCATACCCACCAGGCCTAGAGCTGCAGCTCTGCCTCCAGCTCCCACTAACCCGGCCCTGACTCTCTGGACTCTGCTTCCAGGAGCCCTCCCTCTTTGGGGCAGCATCCTAAGCCTCTGGTGGCCTATCTAAGTCACCCACAGGGGACTCCAGGGAAATTTGCACCAGGCAGGAGAGCCACTGGCTCCTCTGAGCATCTGCCTGGTCATACTGGGGCCCCTGGACTGCCGGGGCAAGCCTAGGGCCAGGGCAGCTCCTGAAATGACAGTGGCCATGTCACCGAAGGCAGCACCCCGCTCATCTCTCCTTCCTAGACCTCTCTAAAACAGGCACCTGTTGGCTGCTACCAGCCAATGCAAATGGCAGGCTGCCCACATCAGGCCCGCAGCTCCATGTGAGCAGCAACTCTCACTTCCCAGAAGATGGTGAGGAGCCTCTGTGCGCCCTCCTCGGTGACCTCACTCCCTTCCAAAGCCTCAGCTGCCAGCTAAGTGGAGGGAACTGCTCCCAAACTTCCATTTCCAGCCAAAAGCCACCTCAGTGGAGGCTGGGCGTCATCCCCTAGAAGTCCCTGGGGCATTGCAACCCCACGTGTCCAGACTGGAGCTTATCTTGACCTCACATCTATTCTTCTTCCTAGCTGCTATCTCACTGGCCATCCCGCCATGCTCCCTGCAGCTAAGAGCAGCACCGAGAAAGGGCCTCTGATCCCCCTTGCCCTCGCTACTGAGCCCTGCCAACCACCTTGCACCCAAAACCACCTCTGCTGCCACTGCCTGGGTCAGCCACCCTTGCCTTGGCCAGGACGCTGGTGTCAGCCTAGACAGGGAGCTCATTAACTGCAGGTTCCTCTTCTGCAGAAAGACCCTCTCCTGTGGAAGGCTCCCAAGCCCACACGGTCTGGGCTCCCTCTCCCCTCCAGGCACACGTCACTGCCACAGCTGACCTCCATGCCTTCGCAAAACAACCCTGCCTCCAGGCCTGTGCACATGGTATCCTGCACCCAGGCACACACACTGCTGCTTACCTGGGCCTGCGAGCTCCTTTCAGCTTTGCTCAAGCACCATGTTCTCGGGGAGGTCTTAGGCCCCCAGGTGTGTGCTCCCATAGCCCCACTTCCCCAGATCTCTTTGATACCGAATGCCATCCCTTAGGTGTGTGTTTTTTCTAGGGACAGTCTCAACCTATGGCCCAGGCTGGAGTGTAGTAGTGCAATCCTGGCTCACTGCAGCCTCCACCTCCTGGGCTCAAGCAATCCTCTCACCTCAGCCTCCCAGGTAGCTGGGACCACAGGGATGCACGCCCAGCTAGCTTTCATATTTTTTGCAGACATGGGGTCTGGCCATGTTGCCCAGGCTGGAGCACTGTCCTTTTGTGTGGATACTTGTTCAATGCCTGTCCTCCCCCTTCCCAGGCCCTTGAAAGGGAGCAGTGCCATCGGCTGTGCCTCCTGCTGGACCACTGGCACCTCCTGACTGCACCAGAGGGAGGCTGGTCTCACTGGTTAGGTCTCGGGGCTAGGGGGTGTGCGAGGCTTTAGCCAGGACAAACAGCATGTGTATGCGGTCTGGTGCTGTCTTGCTGCATCAGGAGCCGGGGCTGGGCTGGGAGTTCAGCCTCACCTGACGGATGTTCTGACCCACGTATTCGATGACCATCTCGTCAGCAGCAATGGGTTCCATGGCAAACAAACCCCACTCGTGGATGCGGCTACGGCCAAATCGGAGCTTCTTCTTCCGGAACTGGGGGACAGAAAGGAGACTCAACTGCCGGACACCTCCCACGCCTCAGCCCCTTTCTCTTCCCACAGAACTCCCAGGCAGAGAGTGTTCTGGCCGCTCACCACCCCCTCACCACCCACAGGGACCACACAAGACTGCTGGGCAGTCCCCTGGCCTCTGCCCCTTCCTGTCCTACTGCAACCCGCCCCTCCCACCACTGGGCCTCACCTTGAGCTGGTTGAGCTTTAGCAGGTCACTGTCCATGATGGCAGAGGTACCGATGGCACTCAGCAGCCTCCGCTGCTCAGACCGGCGCTCGGACAGCACGCGGTTCGTCCCCTGTGAGAACAGCCAGGGAGGTGAGCAGGGCAGGGAGGCTGAGTGGCAGGAGAAGTGCTGGAGGAGGATGCAGCACATGGTGGTGGGGTTGGGGCAAGGCTGGGCCCACCTGAGTGTCCACGCCCTCCAGCTGCCGGGCCGAGACTGGGCACACGTCCAGGTACTTGTCCTTCTCCTTCTTGCTGATGGGGTAGTAGCCTTCGCTGCGGGCTGAGCCTGTCTGGTGCTCCCGGGGCCCGTCCTGGGGCCGCCGCTTGCGTTTTGGGGTGGTTAGGTTGGTGAGTGCAAGGCGTTAAGGAAGAGAACGTCTCCTCTCTGGCCACCAGCATCCCAGCCCAAGGAGAAGGTGGGGCCCACACCGCTGAGCACACCCAGGTGAGGGAGAGGGGAGGAAGCCCCAGCCCCATGGTTCCTGCCAGAAATGCTTTGGGAGGCGGAAAAGAGGCACCAGGTGGAGTGAAAAGACTCAGAGCCAGAGGAAAGGCGGATGGGGGGGAACAGATGCAGGCGCCAGGAGGGGTCGGAGGAGGACCCATGCCCACATGGCCCAAGGAAGGCCGCCTGCCCCGGCGCCCATGCTGAGGATATTCGTGTGATGGACCCAGTGGGTGTCGTTGAGCCAGTCAGCCCCGCTTGTCTGCTGCAGCAGCCGCTCGTACGTGAGCCGCAGGTAGCTCATGTCCTCTGAGTCCAGGCCTGAGTTCCAAATGTCATACAGGATGGTCATCTGTTCAAACTCACTGCGAGGCTCGTAGGCGCGGGGTGGTGGTGGCGGGGGCAGGGGTGGAGGGCGGTGGCGCCGGGTGTGGGAGCGGAGGCTGCGCCTCCGGAGGGCGCCCTCCCCGTCGCTGCTGCTGCTGCTCTCGGAGGACTCCTCCTCATCCTCTCCCTCCTCCTCCTCTTCCTCCTCCTCCTCTCCCTCCTCCCGCTGCTGCTGCAGTTGCTGAGGCTTGGGCTCCTCCGCCTCAGCCACCACCACCTCGGGGGCCTCCAGGACCTCATCAGCTGGGGAACTGAAGAGGGCGGCGGGTGCGGGCACTGGCTCCGGGGGCCGTGGGGCTGGTGCTGGGGGCGTGGGTTTGACAGCCAGGGCATAGTTGTGCTCCAAGAGGATGTGGTTGAGCAGGGGCCCGGGGCGTTCAGCCTCGTCCGACGTCTCTGTGGCCTCCAAGTCATCAATGGCAGGCAGGGCAGGCAGCCCGCGCCGGGAGGGAGTCAGGGCCAGGTCAGCCAGTATTGCCAGGTCCACCTCTGTCC